CTCGCTCCTGCAACACACGGGGCACACAGTTACTCGCCGCGCTCGCTCCTGCAACACACGGGGCACACAGTTACTCGCCGCGCTCGCTCCTGCAATACACGGGGCACACAGTTACTCGCCGCGCTTCCACCCATAACATTTTTATGCAATAGATAATATGACAATATTGAGTCAATTGATAATATGGCCATTACAGTTAATTCGAAGGGAAATATCAGCAAAATATAAGCGCAATGGTTCGTGCGCAATCTATCAGAGACGGTCGTGGTGGCAGCAGATGTTTAGAAGGGCGACTTACAGACGAATGAAATAACCGAAAATTGATTCATTTGCTCACAGGGGAACAAACTCTGTAAGTTTGTAAGGAATAATCTCGGTAGATAAAATTATTTAAAGTATTAAAAAGCAGCGGACAGATCATCTGCCGGAACGTTCTTATTTTTTCGCGATTTTAATTTTTCCAAATTCTTGGGCAAAAAGATACTTTTTTTGAATGCGGCAAATCTTGTAACAACACTACGTGAAATGCAACGTTTTAGAATGAGCAGGCATGTAATGAAATTAACAGAAACAAAAACGTTAATATATGCAACGCTGAGGCGAGATTTCTACGTTCAATGTACAGGGCTCTAGGGAAACCTTCTTTAATCCAACGTTCAAGTAATCCAATTTTATTTTAAAGTTTAATCAAATTTAAACAAAGAAAGTTTAATCCAATAAATCCAAATCCAAATAAATCAAAATTTAATCCAAATAAATCCAAATTCAAAGTTTAATCCAATAAATAAAGAAAGTTTAATCCAATTTCGCTAATTTGAAGCAAATTTTTGAGGTTAATATTAAGGTTAAGCCGAATATTCAAAGCTTTAGCGGAAAATTCCCGGCTGGCGCTTGGCTCGTGCAAAAGAAAATGTGTTGTGTTTTGAGGCACAAGGTTTAGATCTGCTTAGCGAGTTCAAAGCTTGACAAAATTCAAACAGGAAATTCACAAAAAGTACAATTACCGGAGAGAATTAAAGCCTCCGCACAAAAGGCGGAGATAGATTTAAATTTTGAAATAGTTATAGATTTATTGAAATAGATTTAAATTTTGTTGTCCATAATAGACGCTTAATAGTTATTTGTTTAAGTAACTTATCGGTGACGCCTCGGTAAGACATGCGAGAGGAGCCAAATCGGCAGAGCTCAGGGAATGAATCTAACATGCAATGCCTGGAAACAAATTCGCATCTCTTAATTGTATCTCTTGTTCAGACTACAGGCAAAGATTGCAGGGCCTCGCAACTTGAGACTTCTTTTCACAGCAACCATATAGACCCGCCCATATGAAAGTATATACATATATTACGGTACGGTCAAGGTAATTTGCATGCAAAAGGGATTTAAAAAAATGAACTTTCTATGTTAAAAATTGGAGCAGGTTTTTTAGCGCATTTTCTCATTTATGGAAAAAAGGCGCTATTGTGCTCGTCATGTCCGTCCGTGACTTCACGGACGGACGGAAGAGAAAATGCGCTCTCTGTCACTCACTGCAGTGAGTACTGATCTAATTTTTTTTCTAGATTAGAATTTCTCAAGAAAGTTTAGTCTAAGACTTTGAGGAACTCGAATGCAACAGTCCTAACACTTGATAGAACGTAAAATGTAACCATGCATAATCCGATAACATTATTGCTTGTTCAATACCGGTTCTTTATAAACGAATAAAACAAAACGCACGTCCCGCACGCAAAAGATTGGTGTTACAGGAAATGAATAGTGTGCATTGATAATTTGACGCAGAGGTAGAGAAATAATACTTGAATAGTTAATTCTAGCCATTCAACTTCGAGAACGTGTGGAAAAAAAAGTCAAGGAAACACTAATTAATTCAGCAGAGAAAATGGTAAATTACTCAATTCATGCTGAACATGGCGATGTAAAGCAACGATTTCACGTTGGTCTGCACAATAATCCGAACATTATGGAAATCTCGTGTTGTAGTTGACTTGAAGCCTTGCACCTCGAATATTTTTCGTGGTGTATCTACAAAAACAAATCTAAGTCAGAGATGAAATAAAAAAAGCTAATAAATTGAAAAGGAATAATAATGACAACATAAAAACTAGCATTATTGTTTCAATACAAATGAACTGTGAGTCAGTTGGCAGAGAATTCTTGTTCCCCAATTATGTAGTAATAGTAAAGTGTAGTTATATCAGCGGCTTATTGGCTCTTCACCACGATAATAATTCAAATATATATCCCCGGGTGCCCATGTAATTTCGATCATTCCGTTTACAGGTTCAAAATTAAAAGCAACAAAAAACAATCCTAGTCATCTTGGAAAAATATATTTTTAATGGGCTCCCGATGACTAAAAGAGAAATGTCACGGAAACTTTTACACTATTGATAATGAAGTGAAAAATACTACAGCCGAATGAAACGCATCCCATTGCAAAGTACATCCCTATCTCTTCGTCGATGTGATAACAGTTACATACAAGGCCTCCAGCAATGTACTTACAATCCATCTCAATTCATCGCCTCAATTCCCATCTTACTGCGGTAGACTTGAGACAAGTTGCCCATCTGGCACTCCTTTGAACACGTTTATGAGAACATGTACAGCCTCAGTAAATGTGTTTGCAAAGAAATACAACTGGTAAGGCTGTCCTACTTTGGGACAGCTGATACGATAATCAGCCTAATTCCAGGCCACAACTAAGCACAGTGATGCCAACAAATTATTAGTTCATTCCATAGCCCGGCTCAATTTTTCATGTAACATTTTGCCTATCACCCATTGCTTCAGATTGTAGAGTATATATTTGTTGTTAGGAATTGTGGTTAAATGTTAATTATTGCGAAAAGGGAAAAATTCTGCTTATACTGTAGAAGCGCGAAGGTCCGCCCCACCGTCTCATAACCCAACACAACAAAAAGATGACATCGACATCCAGAACCATTGAAGTCGACGCCACTGTGGGCAAATCGTGACTCAAAAGTCGATGGAAATTAATAAGAAGAGCGAACGTAAGCGACTCCTACATATGAACGATGGTGCTCAATTTCGCTCATCCCCAGCCAGTTGGTATTATATTATATATAGTCTGCCGGGTCATATGCAGTTGGTGCAGGAACGTTTTCAGACTTTGTTACTTTTCTTTAAGTAATTCAAAAAATTATGCGTGCTATAAAGCCATTTGGTTGATTAGTTGACTTCTTAATAAATAAGCTTCTCCAAGTTTGTCGCAATCATGAAGAATATATTTGAGACAAAAATTATGTTGTTTTCTCTACTAAAACGTAATTGAAGTATAATATAAAAACTAGGCACGCAATTGTATGCATTTCATAGCGCATTTCACAACATGGACATTTCTGGGCATGTCAGATACATATTATCGCTATTGCACGCCAGACTGAAGCTTCTGCACCTTCAAGGAGTACGTAATTCTCTCCTCAGTGTTGCCGTTCGCTGCCGAGCGGAGAACAACAGTAATAATATGCTAATTATTATCCGTAATGCCAATACTTGAACTGCTTCCAACAGTTGTACGCTCATGATAGCAGGCAAGTAAAAGAACAATTTTCTGCATGGCATGAATCAATTAGTCTAGAAATTACTGACAAACGCAATGATATTTTCGAACTTGGTCACAAAATTTTGCAATAAATTACACACAAAGTTAATTACGAACCTCGAACTATAGTTGTGTAACTTCAAAGTCTCAGCTCTATAATTACTTCAGGAACTTGCCGAACTAGTACCCATCATTCGCTGGGCGTCGCGCACAACACCTCTACATGCTACGTTGATGACGGGTATGTAATGAAGAATAATTATTATTATTCGCGTGACGACGGGGATATGTAGGTAATGAAGAACTATTCGTGTCGTAGGGCTTGCTTATCGGGGGCAATTTATCTCATAGAAGGGAGCGAGCGATTCCAGGGGTATTAGGAAGAACGATCGTCTTCATAGGCGATCATATTCATAAGAAAATATATTCATATGAACTCGTATGGGATAGTTAATGCTTGAGAATTGTCAATCTCGAATACCGTTGTAAATTTACAAATTATAGTAATGTAAATGAATTGAAAGACCAGTTAAAACTCATATTCAACATACGATTCTCACATAACTTCCTATAATTAAAATACCTTGCACAAGAATTAAATCAAGAACCTCCCAACAAAACTGATTAATTTCTATTTAACCCCTTTCCCACTGTTTTAAATATTTTATGATTCTAATTCTAATAAATTTCAAGAACCTGGTGTGATATTATTTCGGTACCTATCCCAATAGATAGGTACCGCAGGTTAAACCGCGCTTTATACACGTTTACAGCGCAGGGTTTTAACCACACTAACAAAACAGACTGACAAGCTTCCGAAAACTTAAATAGAAGCGACATAGAGCGTTGGTATTCTGGTTTCTCTGCTTGGTAAATTTTTCAATTTACTATCGAAACATCAAGTATGAATCTCTGCTTCGCAAATCATGTATCGAGCTTGTATACTGCAGTGACCTCAATTCGTATCTCGTGCTATCATCATGTCTTGTACGAGGCGTGTCCGTAAAACAAGTTCCACGAATTATTTCACATCAAAAAACTAGTTTAATTGCAAAGAAAAGTAAATTTTTGGAAATATCAGCCTTTTTTATTTTTTTTCTGCATAGTAGCCGTTGCGTTTTATGCACTTCCGCATTCGAGGCACCCACTTCTTCAAACCAGAGAGTCAAAGAACTCTGCCGCCTGTCCGCGTAGAAAACGAACTAGCGCGTTTTGCACCTCTTCATCTGTCTGCAATTGGATTCCGCCAAGGTTTTTCTTCGACTCGGGGAAGAGATGGAAGTCACTTGGTGCTAAATCTGGGCTGAAGGGTAGATGAGACACCATTCTCCATCCAAATCTTTCGAGGAGAGCTGTGTTCAATTGGCGGTGTGAGGTCGGGTCGCACAATTCTTGGTCCGCATCAGCCCGCTGCTGCTGGGGATCTGCTGTGAACTTTTTTGGTACCCATCTTGCGCAGACCTTTGATAACCTTAATGTTCAGTCAAATATTATCAATTTTGGTTTTCCTGACCTCAGGAA